GAGCAGGTTCAAGCTTATGGATGTGTTGCTATGGTGATTTTGCCAAATTTGCTTCGTGGAACCGAAAAGCCTGATCTATGTAATCTTATCGTGAAAATTATCCGGCTAACTCAGTTAGCCACGTACGAGGAACGGGGCCCTGGTCTCAAATGTGAGTTTTGGAATATTGGACAAAACAAGACATCTTAAGATGTCTGCTTGTCTCTGCAGAATTTTGATAGTCAGTCATTTTATGCGGTAATGAACTGATTCATCAATAATGAAAATGTATCTTTTAGCCCCTGTTGTATATACCTTGTTAACAGATTGTTTGCAATAAGTAAATAAACAACACAGGCCAGAATTAAAGGAAAACAATGCATAACACACACACACACACTCACACACTCTGCATGGTGCAGCATGGTGTTGCATGTTGTATTGGAGAGCAAATAGAGACAATCTGCCCTCCATGTGATTGCTCCTTTTACCCAGAGGACATTAACACACACACACACACACACACACACACACACACACACATGCGCGCACATAGTTGATGTGATTGGAACTCTCACCCAGAGGACATGAACAAACAATCACAGATTGAATTCAGGGAGTGTTTACTCACCTAGCCCTTTGTGTGTGTGTGCGTGTGCGTGCATGTGCGTGCGTGTGTATGTGTGTGTGTGTGTGGGGGTGTGTGTGCGTGTGTATGTGTGCTTGTGCGTGTGCGTGGAGGTCATAGGGTGGATGAGGTGCTCTGTATGCAGCTCTCCCACCACAGCTCAGCAAACAGAAACAGAAGAGAAACCCGCTGAATGAATTCCAGATTCAGTTCAAAGTTTTGTTTTTTCTTCAAAGCGTTTTTCATCGATCGATCGGACAAACTGCTCAGCAGAACAAAGAGTCAGCTGGAAATACAATAACACTGACTGTACCTAAATTTAAAATAATACACGCCAGCAACTAAGGACTTTTGTATAAGATAGGTCAACATGAACTGGTCTAAAAGTTGGTCTACTGGCATTCTACAATGAAAGTTATCAGGACTCCCTCAACTCATTCAGCCAAGAGTTTGGTGTGTTAGCACAACTAAGATTTCTACTCTAAATACTGATAAATTGTATAACTACTCGTTGCTTACTATACCAGGGAATACACAAACTTTGTTTTGTACAGTGTATCTTTATTAGGTCTCCCTCAGACGTCCCTGCTTCTTGTGATTATCCGTGTCGATTCGGTTATAATCAGCACTCATTATTATCAGTGTTATCTTCATCGACTTTCTGCAGACCTCCCTGCATTTTCCCCCTTTGCTCTCTGAGGGACAATTTAAACAGACGGACGCTGAACAAGGCCGTGGCTTCACTTGCCCCGGTGCATTACAATGTCAACTACATCTGAATACAAAGCAGCTGCAGGAGGGAATTCTGCTCCCGATATTTTCTGCTTCACTCAGAACAGAGGAAATAACAGAGGAATGAGTAAGTGTTACAGCACAGCCTGAAGCCACTTCACCTCTAATTTACACAAGGAAAGGTAGTTAATTATCCATCAAACCCATTTAGCTCAGTGAAAGCTGTGAAAGAGGCGAAACTCACCAAATATATATATATATATACTATATATATACAGTCATAGTAGCTACAGCTGTAATAGCAGTAGAAGCAGTCATAGTAGCAGCAGTAGTAGCAGCAGTAGAAGCAGTAACAGTAGCAGCAGCAGACAGTATATGTTATATGTTGTGGTGATATATGCATTTACAGTGATATCATTGATAGTAACAGTCTAATAAAAGAATCCAAAGAAGGTTGTTGTAGTTGAGAAATATTTGGCTCCCAGTAAAGTGTGTAGTGATGGCGTTGTCCTCCTTCATGGATGGTTTGCCTCTTTGCGTTCCTGTGGGAGTTGTTCCTACATGAATTTATCTTCTGTGTCGTTTCCATGGAGACCTCACATCCAACTGTGGCCTGTCAAAGTGGCTAATTAGTTAATGAAGCGCATTGTGACGTGCGGCCGAAAGAGTATACGGAGGAATTTGGCTGGCACACACATTTATTCAATTTGTCCCTTTCTTTTTCTCTCCCTCCATCCTTCTGCCCCTCCTCTCCTCTCCTCTCCTCTCATCTCATCTCCTCTCCCCCTCCCTCTCAGTAATCATTTCTGCTGTAATCAATTAGCAGGATGAGGAGCAGCAGAGGGAACAGGTGCAGCTAAATGTTAATGAATTCCTCCGTGGCTGTTGTCACAGTAACACTGGCTGAATATTTAAACTGCTCGTTGGCCTGATGACTTACACCACAGCTGATGGAGGGATACACACACCATCACTCTGAGTGTGTGTGTGTGTGTTAATGTGACACAAATAAAGGATGTGGGAATGTGTGTGATACAATCTGCACATGTGCGCCTGGTTCTAAGCAATGCGTGTTTTGTGTATGATGACGATCCACTTCAATTCACACCTGTTAGTGAAAATTGTACCACAGCAACAGAGACTGCTTTCTGATTGGCTGGCAGGCATGGATGTTTTATAGTTGACCTGCAGAGGTTCCTTTTATGTAAACTAACAAAATGTGTTGTGTGTATCCTTAAGGCCTAATACATGAAATTCCTCATATTATCGTTTTTGAAATCAGCCATGTTTGCTTCCTTGCTGTCTTCTTCTTCTTCTTCTTCTTCTTCTTCTTCTTCTTCTTCTTCGCCTTACTTTTCTTGCTGCATTAATGCCGCCTGTCAATCGGTGCAGTGGTGTGTAATATGTTTGTCGTAATGTTAATCCGGTCACTGTGCTTGGGCGTCCTAGTTTGCGTGCATTTAGATAGTACACACTTCCTGTCTCCCAAGAGGGCGTGGTCATTGTCCGTTCGCCTCTGCCTCCATCCTCTGCACCTCGTTTGCGGTGGTTGTGAACGCTGTGTGCATGGATGAAAGCAGATTGGGTTATATTTGCAATATGTTTTCATATTCTTTTTAACTAACATTATATGTTTACACAGCTAACAGAAATATTTAGCATAGCTGAACTTAGTTATTTAGGGTTTGTGAATGTCCGTTGCCAGATCTCGCGAGAGTCTGTCGCCGAGACCGAGAACTAAGTTTATTTTCTCCTGATTTGTCTGTCTGGAAAATGCCATTTTATTGTCAGAACGTTCGGAAGACAAGTGGCTTGTGAGAAATGGGTCCAATATGTACTCTGGTGGCTATGGACTAAAAGAAAAACATTGCTCCACAGTGCTACTAGTGGTTAAAAAGGTCCTCATTTTGGGGCCCATAGAGCAGGAGGCCCTCTCTGGCTAAACCACTGACTCGCCACACACATGAATGACACTAAGATAATTAACTGATCAGATCCAATTCTGAAGATAAGTAACTTCAGGGTGTTTGTGATGCTTAGACAACAGCTGTTCCTTTTATATACAAAGATATTGTACTGTAGAAAAAGTTATTTGTGGATAGTGGCCGTCACATGATCAGCAATTCTGACAGTGGCCACCTATTTTGGAGCATGACAAGAACATACACTAGAGATTAGATAAGACTAAGATTATTAGATCTAATACGCTGCTTGATTTTGTTACTGTGTCCCCCGAATTTCACAATTTCCTACAACCTCACGATTAAGTTGTAATTTGTATTGGTGGCAGTTGTTGCAGAAGTCTCAGGAGGAGTAGAAAAAGAAATCGACACAACTAGCATTAGGAGCTGTAAAAGAGGCAATCCATGGTGAGGCAGAAAAAATAGGTGGATCGAATCTTTTTTCTACTTTTCAAATTCATTAATCTTCATTAATGTCCACCTAACACACACACACGCACACACACACGCACAGACACGGAAACACGTACAGGGTCATACTGAGTATATCAACAGAATGGTTGATGGCAGCTGCCTCACAGAGCAGAGCACACTGGGGGCCAAGCAAGCATCTGCTGTGTGTGTGTGTTTGTGTGTGTGTGTGTGTGTCAGAGGTGGGTTGTTAACATGCAAATAAACCAATTAAAATTCATGCAACACACACACGCACACAAACAAACAAATACACACAGATACACGTACAGACAGTACAGGTATATGTGACTTACACCCTCAGAAACACGCAGTGAAACTCAAACTACAACAGCCTTTTACGAGAATGAGTCAGTGTAAATCAGGTCAGCGGCAGGCGATGAGAGGGGCCTCTCTGCTGATCGCTGGTCAGATTCACGCTCACTTTTCACACCTTGCTGTGATGAAAGCACAATCACGCTGCATAAGCTGCATTCACATCATAGCTCTGTGTTCCCTTACATTTGAAATCCCTATAGGGCGCATGCATGGCAGTTAGTTGTTTTATTTCTCCGATCAAAGATCAATTGATGAGGGTTTAACCACAGAAAATAGACACGCTTTCTTGCTTTTTTGTTTGTAGTATCATATTGAAATAGGACAAAAATTATACGGACAATCAGAAATTCTCCTTATCTTTCCCTCCGCATGTCTATAATGTGTGTACCAAACTTTTTGTTGATGGGAAGAATTCACTCTAAGTTATGACTTCAGGACCCAGCATTTGTAGCAGATAGCCATCACCATAAGCTCTCCGAAAGTCACCACACCTCTTGAAATATATATAAATATCATATATTAAATGACCACAAACAAACACAAAACAACACAGAGATACAAAATGACCACATAAGGATGCAAAATAACTACAAAGACACTCAAAAGAACTACAGAGAGACGTAAAATGACAAAAGAGACACACAAGAAAAACCTAAATAAGATGCAAAATGACAACAACAACAAAGAGACACAAATTGACCAGTAAGAGATTCAAAGCAAGTATAAAGAGACACAAACCAACAACAAAGAGACTCAAAAGGACCACAAAGAGACATAAAGTAACAGTCTAAGACACAAAACAACATCAAAGCGACTCAGGGGTCTTCCGCCCCATGTAGGGGGCCCATTGCTTTATAATCCATGTGCAGGATGATGGCAGCTCAATGTTTTCTGTCCTCATTGTCTTTCAGAGCATCAAGGTGTCATGGCAGCCGCCTCCGCGAAGCGCCCAGAATGGCATCATCTCTGCCTACAAGATCAAGTACAGGAAGACCGGTCGCCGTGGAGACCAAGAGGCCATCGAACCCAACAACTTCTGGTTCCTGTTCACAGGTGGGATGTATTTAGAATTGTGTTCATAATTGGAAAAACTGGACTAAAATAACAAGTTCAACTTATGCAAAAAATAGAAACGCTACCTGTTAGATAGATAAAATCGGTAGGAATTTATTTCTCTGAAACTTGCCAATTTCAAAAATGAATTGTACACAAAATAGGACGAGCAGTTTGTGTGATTTTTCAACAAAATCACACGCATTTCATGGATGACATCATCTCCTAACTGGCTACGAGTGACGCAGCATTGTGCAGCTTCAGTTTTGAGCTGAACTTTTGTTGGACGACTTGTTCCTATGTATTCTTGTCGCTCACTTTGAAAGCCTGCAATGAACGAGTAACGAGTAACTGTTGGCTATAATGTATGTCATTCCCAGTAAATATCACAAAATCGTTTCTGTTCGAAAAGTATAGACGCCAGATGACAGCAAGTACTACTCACCCATCTTTTGAGGCTCCAGTCTGATCTCAAGCATGTGGCTGATGGATACGTGCTTTGTTTACACGATGTAACGCAGCGCTTGCTGCTAGGGCCCGGTGTCTCTCTCTCTGCGGACGAGTCCTCTGACATCATCATAATTGTTGAATTATTCTTTGTTCAGCTTGACCTCACGATACATTTAATTTTATATCAATGAAAGTGACGTGTGACTGCCATAATGCAGTGCATTCAATGCGCTCTAGGCAGGCATTTCTTTTTACAATCAAATAATAATGCAATAATAAAATGTAATATCTAGTTTATTTTGGAGGATATATATATATATGAAATATAAAAATAAAAAAATACATATGTATATATTATATTTATTAGAATGGATCCTTACAGAACTTGTGTCAGCTTGTGTCTGTTTTGTCTTTTTTTGCTTTTATCAGTAGTGCGTTGTTTTTTCTTCTACTTCTTTCGAAGAAAACTGCATTTGCATTAAATCTGGTTAAATCTATCTGCATGTGTGTGTGTGTGTGTGTGTGTGTGTGTGTGTGTGTGTGTGTGTGTG